CATCTCTAGGAAGCAAAACTCTTCTGCTCTTCATCGGCTCTAATCTTGCCTGCTTGTTTCTTGCCCTAAAACAAGGGGAAGAAGGTCTGAAAGCAGAGGTAGTCCTCAACTTATGACCACAATTGGGACTCTAATCTCAGTCATTCAATGAAGCAGCTACTAAGTGAGGTGAGAGACCACTTGGTTCAAGGATCTCAATGCACACTCCTGATTGTGCCCGTTAAGTGATCCTGAGGATTGCTAAGTGGAGAGCAGCCCTGGAAAAGGCTCTGGGGATGCCCCGGGGTGGGGGGAGGTCCTGGGGACCTGCACAGGTCACCTATGAGTTCGGGTCTGCTGAAGGAGAAGGCAAAGATGTAGCCCCCTCTGGAAGCCCGAGCCGCCTCAGCCTGGCCACGCAAAGAAGCCCTGATTGACCGCAGTACTGGGGCTAAAGCTGGCCCTTATGTGGACACGGGGGGACTTCAGCCATTTCAGCCAGCTGCACTGACCCCAGTCCAGCTCCACCACTGCCAGTGAGAAATGTGATATCCAGCCCAAGACCAATGGCCTTTGCAGCCTTGCGCCATTCTCCAAGCTGCATCTTCCATACCTTATCTAAGCAACATCTCCCAAAGGATGAGTTGTGATGAGTTGAGATAAAGAAAACTTTGATCAAGTAAAATTTAGAAATATAAAACACCAGCAATTAAATTTGTGTATAAAGGTTTTGTAAAGATGATTTAGACACATATAAGCTAAAACTTCATTGATGAATGCAATAAAGATGCCTGTGTGTTTTAAAATAGAATATACTCAAATGGATGAGACGTGTATTTTGAATATAAGATGTTGTTATGAGTTGAGAGAAAGAAAATTTTGGTCATGTAAAACTCAAAAGTTAAAATATTAATAGGTTAATTGGAATATTGACTTGTGCATAAAGTTTCTGTAAAGATGATTAAGATATATAAGTTAAAACCTTATTGATAAAAGTAATAAATATGTCTGTGTAGCAGCAAGGGGAAAAAATTATTAATTCTAAATATGAGATAGTAGATATAAAGAGGAAGAGAGAGGAAGTATTAGATGTGGAAATAAGAGAAATTTTGGTTAATAAATTTAAGATTTTAAAGTACCTGAGAATTATCAGAAAATAAGAACAATATTATTGCATTATTAACTTGTTCATGTAGATGGTGAGAACCTGTATAAATAAGATGTGCATTCTGAATATTAGATTTTGGGAGGAATGGTGATAAAGAAATTGGGGTCATTTAAAGTGTGGAAATGATAATTATTAAACGTTAAATTTAATGAAAAATCAAAATTGAGAAAAATTGATTAGGTCATTGATTGTCTAAAGACAGAAAGTTAAAACAACTAAGATATATGTTAACTCAGTGGTTCTCAACCTGTGGGTCGGGACCCCATTTGGGGTCGAACGACCATTTCACGGGGTCACCAAACAACGCAGTCCGCCATTTTTTCTCCCTTTTCCTTAGCTGTGCTACTCCCTTTTATTCTATTGGCTTTTGAAAGCCAAATTGGCTTTCAAAAGCCAATAGGAATTGTCCAGGCTTTCTCTGCCCTGCTGAGCCCGCCAAAAGTCCCATTCTGCAAACGGTGCTGCACCAGTTGAGTACCGTATATTCCGGAGTATAAGACGACTTTCTAAACACTTAAAATCTTCGCAAAAGTGGGGGGGTCGTCTTATACGCCGGAAAAATATTACACAGCAAGTTTTCTCTTCCCCCCCCCCTCACTCAAAAAGAGTCCTAGGGTTATTATTAAATCCAGCCGATCAACTAAAGATATCTCTGAGAGTACGATAGGCATTATCTGGCTGTTGTGACGGTAAGATTTCCTGGAGGTTTAATCCCCATTCTATAATGCTACATTGCAAACCGTCTCCTCTCTTCTTCCCTCCCTTTTGCATCCCAATTCCTTGCCCACCCCTCCAGAACTGCGGATTGGTAGTGGCCATCCCCTGATTAATTCATTCAAAGGAAGTAGAAAGGAATGGCCCATGTAATGGGGAAGGGGGGAAAAGAATTGTAAGGTGTTTTTTTTTATATAATGAAAACAAACCTAAGCATCTGCGTCCATTCGAGGCACTTCTCAGTGCTTCTTCATGCAAGCTTTTCAGCGTTTACCTCTCACTGCCGGTGAGAGTAGCTTGGGGGAGGCGGAGCTTATGGGTCTGGAAGGGGAGGGGTGTCAGCTAAATTCCTCTCGGATTCATGAAGCAGGAATGGAGTGGGAACAGAAAACAGCTACACAATCCTTTTGCCTGTCCACGAGCTTATGCAAGCAGTTTCTCTCCCCCCCCCCCCCGCCTAAATAAACTTGCATGGTGCATTTGTGATGTTATTTATGACAGATCCTGGCTGGTCAATCTGGCTCCCATCTATAAGTACTGTAGTGCACTGAGTTTTAATAACAAATTAAAAGGAAAGCATTTACTCCCCCCCCATTACCTGAAAAGGGGGCAACTTATCACATTTATGGAAATGCAAGTTTTCGAAGGGCGAATGCCTTTCTTACTTAGTTTATTAACTGCTTCCTTTCCTTCTTCCCTAAACATTCTGGCTGTCTCCAATTTCATTCTTGGTAGTGTTGCTTTAAAAAACTGCTGAGAAGTCCTTTTGCAGGCAGGGCAATTTTCATCAAGGTGTGTGTGCGATTGACAAGGCAGAGCCTTTGACAAACAGGCAGGCTTTCTGCTCACTCAGCTTGGAGAGGCTGTGGAGGATTCGCAGGGTGGAAGACTGAAAGGAGGAGATCCCTGCGTGCAGCCTGCTTGCTCCAAGCCAAAGCTTGCTACTGGGGGGAGGGCAATGGAAGGGACCCAGGGAGTCACACACATGCCTACATGTGCACGCACACATCCTGAGCTACTCATTTGGACTTACAGGTGGCCAATGAGAACTCAGAAACTGTGCTCCCTTTCCCCCTCCCTCATGGAATTAGCTTGTCCATTTTTTCCCTAGGGCCTATACAGGAGTAGGCAACCTTGGCTCTTTTATGACTCATGGACTTCAACTCCCAGAATTCCTGAGCCAGCATAGCTGGCTCAGGAATTCTGGAAGTTGAAGTCCATGAGTCATAAAAGAGCCAAGGTTGCCTACCCCTGGCCTATAAGATGACAGGAAGGGTTGGGCAGGCAGGGAGAGCTGACCCACCCAATCCAAGCAGGCTTTGTATACAACAACCAGCCAAGGTTCATCGCTTGCTGTGATTGGCTGGTTGTTGTATACTGGGTACATACAGTACAGCACCAGTATCTGTACCAGTTCATACAGTACAGCACCAATACATACAGTACAGTATACAAATGTCCAATAGTCAAGACCCCATCATGGCTCCACCAGCAAGAAGAAAGAAATATGAAGCCAGTTTCAAACTTAAAGTTGTAAACTTTGCCATGGAACATAATAACTGCGCTGCTGCAAGACAATATGGAGTTTTTCTGCTAAGTACCTTTATGTCATAAGCATTTGAATTAAAATTACCATATTGAAATTAAATCTGATGTTTTTTAATTTTTATTTGGTGTGCGTTGAAAGAGGGGTAGTCTTATACGGCGAGTATAGCCCAAACTCTATATTTTAACTGGAAAAGTTGGGGGTCGTCTTATACGCCCAGTCGTCTTATACGCCAGAATATACGGTAGTCCTCGACTTACGACCGGTTGGGGGTCACGGCATTAAAAAAGCTGAGAACCACTGTGTTAACTAAAATTGATAACTGTATTAGTTAAAATATGAGACAGTAGATATTAAGGGAGAAAGAGAGGAAATGGGGATTATAACAGCTTGAGATCTGTACTAATGATATCTATGTGTAATAGAATTATTTACCCAGTCGCCACATTTGCTTTCAAATATTCAAATGTAATATTAGAAAAATCAATAAAAATTTACCAAAAAAAAAAAAAAAAAACCCAACAGCATCTCCCAAAGGATTTCTAAGTTTCTCCAGCATCCCCTCAGATTGAACGTGGCCTCAGCTGGGGCTCTGTGGCCTCCCCTCTGCCGCCTGAGACAAACCTATGCTTCTTCAGCAGAAAGTGCCACACCTGCCATTAGCAAGAAGACAAGGGAACGGAGCAGCTACTGGTTTCCCAGGTAAAAGTTTCCCTATGGGGCCACACCTGGCTTATTCCACAACCCTTGGATTGGCACAAGACACAGGACTGTCTGAATTGAGGTCATTCCTTCGCATTTCCTACCTGGATGGGAGAAAGGCCAACTGAATCCCTGGATCACACTAGGCTGATTGTCTGTTACAACAACAACAATAATAATACAATTGGAACGGACCTTGGAGGTCTTCTAGTCTAACCCCCTGCTCAGGCAGGAAACCCTATACCATTTCGGACAAATGGCTGTCCAGTTTCTTCTTAAAAACTTCCAGGGTTGGAGCATTCACCGCTTCTGGAGGCAGGTTGTTCCACTGATTAATTGTTCTAACTGTCAGGAAGTTTCTCCTTAGCTCTAGGTTGCTTCTCTTCTTGATTAGTTTCCATCCGTTGCTTCTTGTCCTGCCTTCAGGCGCTTTGGAGAATAGCTTGACTCCCTCTTCTTTGGGGCAGCCCCTGAGATACTGCTATCGTGTCCCCCCTCGTCCTTCTTTTCATTAAACTAGACATATCCAATTCCAGCAACTGTTCCTTATATGCTTTAGCCTCCAGTCCCCTGATCATCTTTGTTGCTCTTCTCTGTACTCTTTCTAGAGTCTCAGCACAATCAGGTCCAACCAAAACACTGTGTGTGTTTGTGTGTCTCTGTTGTGTGTGTTTGTGTATTGGAAAGAGGACTTCAGTCAGAGCACCTGAAAAGAGACTCAACCCCAGAAGATCAGACAGGAAAGGAGGAAGGGGAACATGGCTCAGATTTGGCATTTCATCCTTCTCCAGGCGGAACAGCCAAGCCACTCGTAAAAGGACCTTGGCTGATCAGAGAAAATAAAACTACAGAGAGCTTCCCCAAAGTGAAATGAAAGATATGTTTACTCACCTTTAAAGTGGCAGCTAAGAGGTCTCTGGGTCACTCGTTACTGTTTTGAATCAAGGCCAGGTATGATCCTCACTGCTGACGGGTCTGATCGAGTCTGACCGATTGGTCCTTTGTGCAAGAAGCTGCTTCTCCAACCAGGCCTCAATTTCCAAATTCTCTTGAATGGAGTTGGCGGGTTCCGATCCAAGAACGCACCTTGTCCTCTGTGGAGCTCACGGCCACATCTTCACTGGTCTCCTGTAAAGAGAAATGAAAAATGCTCAGATGCAGAGAGTAATGCTGAACATAATCTGTAAATGACCGATTATTTCTTCACAATACAAAATAATGGAGACAGAATCATGATTCAAGAAGATCTTAATGAGCCAAAATGAAAGCAACCAGCAAGATGAAGTCCAGTGGGGACCAATGCAGAGTTAATAGGAAAACTCAGTGGAAAATGAGAGAGATCAGATGGGGCAGAGCATGTGTGAAAAGGGCTGCTCTTTCTTATGCTTTTTGGAAGATGCAAGGCCACAAAGATTCCAGGTCTCTGGAGCTGCCTCGGATAGGCATTTTGAAAAATATTTAAAATTATGTAAGGCAGCCTTCTAGCCATCAGCTTGTTCTATTACCTGCTTTACAAGACCAGCCTCAAAACATCCTGAAAACTTTGTATGCTTTGTAAAACGTCCACCAACAAGGGGCTGCCTCATCCCAGCCCCCTCAGGGCAAAAAAAAAAAAAAAAGGGGGGGGGGAATGCTTTTTAGGAATTCCACACAGTTTTTTAAAGCAAAAGCAAGGTAACCATTCCCTTAAAAACAAAGGGTTTCCTTCCTGGCCTTTTAAACTGAGCACAAAAAAGAGGATCTCACGTGGGCTAAGACAGTGGTTCTTAACCTTTTTGAACAAATCGTCCCCTTGAGCCAATGAGGAAGTTGTCATCGCCCCCCTCCCCCAACATAACCTCTCAATCACAACATAGGAAATAATTCTTCAATTTATGCAAACACTTGTTTTGTTTTCTTTAGAATTGTCATCAGGACATATCGATGCAAATAATTTATTTCCAGTCTTTTTCCCATATCTCAACTGTGTGAAAAGTTTTGGTGCCACCCATCACTTTATTTCCAAACTTCGTGATACATGTATTTCATTATTATCTTATTTATTCAAGATACTTAAATGTAATGACCACTGAAAACAAAATTCAATTGCAAAAAAGTGAAATGCCGGAAAAGAAAAACAGTAACATTTAATGATTGAATTACAAGTGAAATTTAAGACGCAAAAAGAAATATAAAAAGGGTAGAGGCTGCTGCGCAACGCGCATGAAGATAAACAATGCGTATTCATATATATACACGGCATTCTGTACTGAAGCTAGCTGGAGGAACATTTGAAAACACAATTCAATCCACTAATAAAGAGCGATCTGATATTTTTGTAGGACAGATATACAGCCATTCAATGTATGAAAAAGTCTCAAACGTGTCCCCAAAACTTCTCGCTCCATCGCCCCCATATTGCCCTCTTTTTGTTCCATCGCCCCCCTGAAAAACAAAATCGCCCCCATCGCCCAGGTTAAGAACCACTGGGCTAAGACAACATGAGCTGAATTCAGTTAATTTAAACTTGTTTTCTTTCCCCCAAACCCCCATTGCAATGAGATCAGTTGCGTTAATACCACATTGCAAATCTCAATAAATGTTTTAAAGCGCTGCTTACTCCATTTTTTCAACCGCAATTGAGGGATATGTGTGCAGTAGATTATTAATCAGAAATTTCTAATGAATCTAATGAAGGTTGATAGAAGAAGCCACCTGAAAGTCATAAAGTCAGGCAAGTAAACCATGCACAAATGTGAAAAGCAGAAGGCACCAGCTAACTGAAATTGCAAGCAGAGGAAATATCAAAATAACGATCGGAGCCGAGCTGCGCTAACAGAAAAATAGATGGTGAAAGATTGGATATGGACAATGGGGCTTCCTGCAACGTGGGAGGGGCAGTGGTTTTAGGAGGTCCGGATAAATTATCGGATAATTAGGGAAGGGGCGTTGAGTGTGATAGGGGAGGGGGGAATCTGTGGATATAAAAAGGTGTCAAACAGCTCTTTAAGGTGTGGCTGGACTCCTGTGTGTGTTTCAGTCAACCAAGCCGTTGCAAAGGCTTTAGTTTGAATAAAACTTGGTTGCTGGAATTCCAAGTGAGTTTGTTTGTTTGGGGATCCTGAGCCTCGTTCCAAACACATGCTCAGAGACGTCTTGCTCTGACCGACCACACAGAGACCTTCTGGAGCAATTTCCCCAAAAGCTCCCTCCTAGAACCACCCAGAACCCCACGGGGAGCCTCGGCTGGGCGAGGAGGGGGCAGATCCAGCCCGGGGAGGGAGGGATCCCCCTTTGCCCCCCCCGGAGGGAAGGGAGGGATCCGCTCCCTGCAGGCGACGCCAGAGCCGAATCTCCCCAAGGAAAACCCGGCAAGCCGAAGGGGCGGATCCGCAGCTACCTTTCTCCTGGCGGGGGGGGGAAGCTCTTCTGGCGGGAGGGGCGCCCCAAAGGCCGGAGGGGGAGCAGCCCGACCTCCCCGAAGTAAGACCCAGGAGCCTCTCCCGAGGGATCCAGCGCCGATCCTCCCAGGGGGAAGACAGACAGGCAGAAGGAAGCGGAGATAACAGCGAGTGGGAGGGTGGAGGCGAGGGCGGGGCTTCTGCTCTCCTCCCGGGCTCCGCCCCCGCCTCGCAGCCCCGCCCCTTGGCCACCTCCTCTCCTCCCTCCCTCCCCCCACCGTCTGCCTTCCCAGCAGGGGACTCCCTGTTCCTCGCCTCCGGGGTTCCTCTGCCCATGCGAAGAGTGCCCTGCGGTGCCCGGGCGGAGCTGCTTCCTGCTCCAGCATCTGGGTGGAAACTGAAGCTCCGCGATGGGCGCGAAAGAGTGGCGGAGGGAAGGGCGAGGATTGCGGCGCTTCCTGCAGGATGGAGAAGAGGGCGGGGAGGGGACGCGAACCCGGGGAAGAGCTGCTCCAAGAGGAGCGGGGGGAGGCGGGGGCGGTTCCAGACCATCCGCGGCTGAGACAGGAGGGAAAGAGAAGCCGGGCAGAGTCCTCCGTGCAGCCGAGGGTGGGGAAGCGCCTGGGGCAGGAACGGGAAGAAGCCCCGGGCGGATCCCGAAGATCCTAGAAGTGCAGCTGCGCAGGTGCCGAAGTGGGAACAGACGGAGGGAGCGCCCCAGCTAATCGCTGGAGGCAGAGGTAGGCAACCTTGGCTCTTCGATGACTCGTGGACTTCAACTCCCAGAATTCCTGAGCCAGCACAGCTGGCTCAGGAATTCTGGGAGTTGAAGCCCACGAGTCATCAAAGAGCCAAGGTTGCCTACCTCTGCCCTGGAGGGAGGAAATAGGAAAAAGCCGAGGGCCACAGGAACCAGTGCCCTTGGAGGAGGACTCTCCTTCAGCTGGCCCAGAGTCCCCCAGAGGACCTGTGGACGGGGAGGGGAGCAGATTCCCCCAGGGCCCCCACCCGCCCTCCCTCTGGTCCCATTTGCCTTCCTTCTGCCCAGAACCGGACAGAGGCTCCTGCTTGCCTCCCTAGGGCAAAAACACTCGAGCCACTAACTTCCTCTAACTGGGGGGGGGGACACCCAATGTTTACAAAGGGTTAAAAACGGTTTGTAGGGCCCTGAGGAGACCCCTTCTTCTTCCCTAGCCCCCCCATGACACTTAATTCGGATTTTGGCCCCTGAAGTACATTTGAACTTTTAAATATATATTAAGCATATCTGAACTCTTGCAAAGCCCCACCCATTATCAAATGTAACCTTTAGATGCCTTCAGAGCAGCTCACCTGTCTGGGGGCTGCAGAGCTGCTGGATTACAACTCCCATCAAGTCCAGCCGGCAAGACGTTATGGGTGTAGAAACCCAGCCTAACTCACGTCTGGAGGATTCCATTGAGTGAATGCTAGCAAGCCTCCTTACGGCAAGACAATCCCTGGACCCACAACCCAAGAATCACAACGCTAAGCTGCTGTGTGTAGAATGTAATTTTATTTACTCCGCAGTCCAAAATATTTCTTTCTGAGATACAAAAACGATTAGGAGCATTTAAAGCAGCACCCGGGTTTAAGGAAGAACCGGAAGGCAAAGCAGGAGTTAAGCAGCTCAGTCCAATGAGAGCTAGAGACCCCCTCTGGCCATCTTGCCCCAGCTACTGTCCTCCAGATGTTTGGGACTTCGACTGCCTCAACATCTGCAGAACACCAGATTGGGAAAGGCCCTTCTGGGGCATAACCGGCCACGTTCAGTAGAAAAGAATTGGGTGGGGCAAGGGGGTCTTGATAGAAACCAGTTTTTTTTTTTTTTAATCTTGGTAACTTTTAAGATGTGTGGACTGAAAGCCCCAGAATTCCCCAGGAGCATGCTGGGAATTGAAGTCCACGCATCTTAAAATTTGCCAAAGTTGAAAATCTCTGACAGAATCAGATACGTTGGCTTTCTGATGAATTGTTTGGGAACTGCTCCTTAAGCTGGAAAGCAGCTCCTTTTTCATGGCTGTTTCCACCACACAGGGCCTTCTTGGTGGTGACCTCCCACTTCTGGAACCTTCCAAAAAAAAAGAGGTGTGAATTGCCACTGCCCTGAGGGTTTTTCAGGATACAGATGGAATTTATGTATATATTACATAGATACACACTTGGAATATTATTATTAGTATTATTATATATTTAGATAAATTGGCCTTTATGAGATGCAGCCCCTTCCGTCCAATATTTTATCCTCACAGGCACAAAAAGCACAATTAAGGCTAAGCGATCGTGATGGCCAAGATGAAGCAGCTGCACTCTACATTATAAATATCTCTTTAAGATAAACAACTCATCTTTGGGCCCCACATGTCCCTGCAGTGTTTGGATTAAAGTACAAGTAGTCCTCAGCTCACGTCCATTTGTTCAGCCACCGTTCAGAATCCGGACGGTGCTGGAAAAAAAAAATACGTGTGGCAGATCCCAGAAGTTGTGTGAAACTCTTCCAACATTCAGAATATAGGTAGTGCCCAGATCTCATTTTCCATGAATTCTCTCCATTGAGATCTACTTTGACTGGAGAGGATTCAGTCTGGTGTGAATTCTCCACAATTTGAGTGCCTGTAAGGCAGTGGGTCTCAACCTGTGGGTCGGGACCCCATTTGGGGTCGAACGACCATTTCACGGGGGTCGCCAAACAACGCAGTCCGCCATTTTTTCCCCCCTTTTCCTTAGCTGTGCTACTCCCTTTTATTCTATTGGCTTTTGAAAGCCAATAGAATAGACTCTTGAATAGAGTCTAATTTTATTGGCTTTCAAAAGCCAATAGGAATTGTCCAGGCTGTCTCTGCCCTGCTGATCCCGCCAAAAGTCCCATTCTGCAAACGGTGCTGCACCAGTTGAGCAGTCCTTGACTTACGACCGGTTGAGTAGTCCTCGACTTACGACCGGTTGGGGGGGGATCACGGCATTAAAAAGGTTGAGAACCACTGCTGTAAGGTCTCTGTCCTGTGTGAATTCTCCGATGAGCCTGAAGACTTGATCTTCAGAAAAGCTGTTGTTTATTTCGGGCCCCTTTTTATTTCTGAAATAAAACAAAAATAAGCTTTTGTGCTTGTTTGTATTTATTCATTTGATTTTACGCACTTCTGTTTGCATGACCCTGAGGCCCAAGAGGGCAGTCGGGCTGCCTCTAGTCATCACCCATTTAGTACTGCCCAAAGAAGTGTTGTGTATAGTTACGGGGATTGTGGGTATATGTTTGCCTCTCTTCTGTCATGTTCTCGTACACTAAATAAAAATATTTATTAATGATTTGGAAGATTTTCTGATTGTGAAAAACATTTCCCACAGAATAAATATATGTACGATTTTACTTGCTTTCAAGTGGTCATTCCCGCCTAGTTCACAACTGAGGGGCTTTTCTCCAGTCTGAATTCTCGGGTGCATATTAATTTTGATTTCTAAGAAACATTTGTCTCACTGTACAAGGTTTCTCTCCTAAGTATTTTTGTTTGTAATTACCAGGTACGTGTTTGCCACATTCTATGCACTGATTTTTTATAATTTTTTAATATATACATGGAGACACGGCGAGTGTGAAGCTAGAGGTGAGGGTAGAGCTTTTGGTCTCCAAACAGTCTGGGGTCCCCCTCCGCGGCCGAGACAGGGTGGAAAGAGAAACGGGGCAGTCTTCCATGCAGCCGAGGTTGGGGGGGCACCAGGGGAAGAGTCAGGAAGAAGCCCTGAGTGGATCCCTTCTGGATCCTGAAGATCCTGGAAGTGCAGCTGGGCAGTTGCTTCAGAGAGAGTAGATTCCCCACTGAATCCCTGGAGGGAAGAAATAGGAAAGACCAGGAGCAACAGGAACATCCCCATCCCATGGGAGGAGGGATCTTCTTCCGCTGGGTGTTTGTGGATCCTGACTGAGGACGGAGATGGACGGGCTGGCCTAGGGTCTCTTCCCAGGGGAGGCCTCCATGGAGGGGAGGATGCAGAAAAGTCCCAAAACGCCTTTTACCTGTCCCCATTGCTTTTCCTGACCTATAGATCTCCCACCTTGGTGTCTGGGAGGGGGTCTCCTCCACCTCCACCTAAAAGCAAGGATGGGCATTGTCAAATTTAAGAAACCATAATTTCCAAGTTTCTTTCCTTCGTTTAACACAGTGGTTCTCAACCTTTTTAATGCCGCGACCCCCAATCGGTCGTAAGTCGAGGACTACTCAACCGGTCGTAAGTCGAGGACTGCTCAACTGGTGCAGCACTGTTTGCAGAATGGGACTTTTGGCGGACTCAGCAGGGCAGAGACAGCCTGGACAATTCCTATTGGCTTTGGAAAGCCAATAGAATTAGACTCTATTCAAGAGAGTCTATTCTATTGGCTTTCAAAAGCCAATAGAATAAAAGGGAGTAGCACAGCTAAGGAAAAGGGGGGGAAAATGGCAGACTGCGTTGTTTGGCGACCCCCGTGAAATGGTCGTTCGACTCCAAATGGGGTCCCGACCCACAGGTTGAGAACCACTGGTTTAACATGTCCTTCCCCTCTTCTACACACAACTCAGCCAGTATTTCACCTTCCTTCTGGAATTCCTTTTTGTTTCAGTTCCATAAAAAGCTCTGCACAAAACATTTTACCCATTTCGCTTACAAATCAAATATAACTGCAAAATATTTCAGTCACAATTTGCTTAAGGGTGGAGAACGAGAGGCAGGGAGGGTCTGCTAAGTCCAAAGAGGCTGGGAGCTGCCATGATGCCTTGGGCCTTTGCTGCCCCAGAATCAAAAGGCGACTTTAAACTATGATTCCCTTTCCACCCAGGAAGTAGCTAACTTTCCCTTAACATTATTCACCGTTGTGGTGAACAATGTGGGAAAAGTGCACTCCGAACAAATTAACAAGGGGCTATAGGATAGTATAAATGATTTTATTAAGGCTGCACAATGGACTGAAATGATTTTGTGGTAAAGCGTGAAAACAGTATCCTCGCTTGAATGTTATTTAAATAAGGTTCTGGAGGGAGAAAATATCCTCCAGATGCCACTTAAGCTTCAGGGTATTTTTTGCCCCCTTATCTACCCTCTCGTATTCCCAATGGAACATACGGTTCCATACAGTTCCCAGAGAAAGAAAAAACATCCATGAGACCTTAAAAGTTTTCCTTTAGAATCCTGAAAGAGGATTTCCTGTCCCATTTAAGAATTGGCGACCCGGATCCCTTGGGGCCTCTTCCATTGAGAATACGAGAGGGTGGAAGTTTACACTTAGGACTGCAGTGACTTAATGATCACAAAAATGTTGTAAAAGCATAGCCAATCATATGGGTGCCTTGACGGACGACTATATAAAGCTACAACCACAAATCTGTTCCTGATTCCACCATAAGTCGAGGACTAGGAGCACTGTGCAAAACATAATCTACCCTCCCCAACACTTGTAACTCTTTTCTCTTGTGTAATGTCTCTGGTAAGTTACTAATGTTGCTGCTTTGTTAGCCAAACCCTTCTCACACTCCCAAGGCTTAATGCCCTTTTGCTTTATTGTGTACTCTCCGATTGTATTTAAGACACTGTGACTTGGAAAAATATTTTCCCCACACCAAACAATTGTAGGGTTTCCCTTCTGTCACTTTGTGGTACATTTGATAAAAAATGTTTCCCACGTTGTTCACGACAGAAGAGATTCATCTCTGCTATGGATTTCCTGATATATTTTTAGCTTAGATTTACAATTAAAAAGTTTCTCACTCTCTGCACATTTGTAAGGCCACCCTCCTGTGTGATTTCTGGTGTGCTTGCGAAGTGATGAAGACTGGGAAAAACATTTCACACACTACAGTGTGGGTTCTCCAGTGTGGGTTCGCTGATGTCTCACAAGATTATTTTTTTGAGAAAAATATTTATTGCACTCCGAGCATTTATGGGGCTTCTCTCCTGTATGGATTCGGCTGTGAGTTCTAAGGGAAGATGAATGAGCAAACGTTTTCCCACAGTGTAAACATTTGTAGTTTTTCTCCCCCGTGTGAATTTTCACATGACTCCAAAGGGCTGATGTGGTACAATAAAATTTTCCACATTCATTGCATTGATAGGGCTTCTCTCCTGTGTGGGTTTTATGATGATTCCAAAGTACATCCTTATAAGCAAAAGATTTTCCACACTCTGGGCATTTGTATGGCTTCTCTCCTGTGTGGAGCCTCTGGTGCGTTGCAAGGTGGTGTTTTTGGGTAAAGCATTTCCCACACTCCCCACATTTGAATGGTTTCTCCCCTGTGTGGGTTCTCTCATGAACCTGAAACGCTGTTTGAGTAACAAAACCTTTCCCACACTCCCCACATTTATACGGTTTCTCCTCTTTGTGACTCTTCTGGTGTCTCTGAAGTTCAGAAGAATACATAAATCGTTTCTCACATTCTGGGCATTTATGGGGTCTCTCTCCCGTGTGACGTCTCTGATGTTGCACCAGGTGTGATTTCAAGGCAAAACATTTCCCACATTCAGGGCACTTTTCATTTTTCTCCCCTCTGTGTGTTTTCAAATGCTTCCGAAGAGTTGAATTGTTGGTGAAACATTTTCCACACTCAAAGCATTTGTAAGATTTTATTCCCGTATGAATCTTCTCATGGTGCCAAAGATCTGACTTCCGAGGAAAGCTCTTCCCACATTGCCAACACTCGTAAAGTTTCTCCCCTGTGTGAATTCTCTCATGGTCTCTCAGATAGGCTTTTTCACGGAAAGATTTCCCACATTCCAGACATTGATAAGGTTTCTCTCTAGTGTGGATTTTCTGATGTCTAAGAAGGTTTGATTTTTGACCAAAGCATAAATCACATTCCTCATATTTATGGGGTTTTAATCTGGGGGGGCTTCTGAGATCTTTGGCACCTTTTCCAAAAAAGGATTTCTCACCCTCCAATCCTTGACTGGATCCGCTTCCCACATGGACCTTCCAGTGGGTCAAAAGGAGGGACCAGCAAACAAAGCCTTTCCCACATTTTGAGCATTCGTGGGTTCCCTGGTGGTTTTTCAGAGTGTTGCTTGTGTCTGACGGGGGATTCAAGAGCTTCCCACTCTCCATGCTTTTTGGTGACTGCTGCCTTGTGCCAATTTTCTATTATCTGTTGATAGTTGGCTTGCAGGTAAATCACAATCTTTTATCCCCTGTTAGAAGGAGAGAGAAGTGAAGAGTAATATCTCCTTTTGGGATATGTAGAGAATCACAAAATCTTGGCCTTGGAAGGGACCTTGAAAGTCTTCAGCCCAATGAAGGTTGTTCAGTACACCTGGCCTCTACATCTCTAGGAGAGATGTCCTCATTTTATGACCAGTTAGGACTGGAATTTCAGTCAGTCAGTGAAGCAGCAATCACATGACCACTTGGATCCACAACTATAATCCCAGACTCCTGGTTGCAATCATGAAGTGACCTTGAGGGTTCTTAAATGGAGGGAGGCTCAGGCAACTGTTGTTGGGGGCGTCACAGAATGGGGGAGGTCATAGAGACCAGGCACAGGCCACCCATGAGTGGGGGGTAGGTGATGAAGTGGAATGCAAAGCTGCAGCCACTCCTGGAAGCTTGAGCTGCTCCAGCCCAGCCATGCAAAGCAGCATTAATTGACAACAATGCTGAGACTGGGCCTTAACTGGAGGCCTGGGGCCTTCAGGAGTGTCATCCATCTGCCACTGACCCCAGGCCTGGACTTCAGCCCAGTGTCACTGCTACCATTGAGAAATGAGGCCTTAATCCCCAGACTGGAGGCCTCTGCAGCCTTGCGCCATTCTCCAAGCCGCCTGTTCCATACTGTTGCTAAGCAACGTGTCCCAAAGCATCTAACCTTCTTCAGGGCCCCTTCAACTTCCACATTTCCTGTGCCAGGACTCACAGGGTCTCCCCTGCCCACCTCAGGCAACCCCACATTCCTTAACTGGGACTTTGTCTGCTTGTGAAGTAGCTTAACATCCATCACCATGAGGGCAGGATTGCAGTCACTGAGCAAAGCGGTCATGTGACACCTCATTTAATGACCGCTTCTCTCAAAGACTTCCAGTCAAAACTGTGGTCATAATATGAGGCATCCCCAAAATTAAGGCATCGCATAAGCAAGGGAGGAGGGAAGAGAGTTTGGGCTAGTGTAAGCAATCCATTTCTGATCCCCTTTTCTTGCTTTTTCCGATTGTTGCACTACTGAGCTCCATCCCGTCATGATGTCTTAATCCTCACTTTGTGACGCATTTTATACAAAGTACGACGAAAAGGGGAAAAAAAGGATCCAGGAAATTCTAGACCAATCAGCCTGACATCAATACCTGGGAATATCCTAGAAAAGATTGTTCTGTCCCAGCCTACGTGCGTCCTTGTTACTGCACAAAGAGAACCCCTCTTTTAACAGTAGACTGGAAAATAAACTCTTTTTATTTGAGTTACAGACCTGATAATTGTCCCAGAAAAACAAAAGCAACAGAACACTTTCCCAACGGAGCACGAGTCAAACAGGAAGTAACTCACAGACAAAATAAACAGACCATGATCTCTTGACTCTGATGTTCTTTGCAAATGGTTGCCTCCAGTAACCAGCCCTACCCACACATTCCCTTTTTGTTAGCCTTTGCTTCTCACTACTTTCTACTCTTCCCCTGGAGTCGCCCCGTTGTCTCCCTCTGTCCTACTTCTGTGACCTGCCTACGTCTATGAGCATCTCTGTGGTCTTCCAGCTGTGCTTCCTCTGAGTCTGTCTCAGCTTCCCAGCTTGATCACAAGTGGATCCTTATCAGTCTGTAAGTCCTACAGCTCATCAGAGCCTCCCTCTAACTCTGATGGCTTTCCAGCCCCCCCCCCCCTCCACTGATTCCCCAGACTCAACTATTGGGATCACAGGCTGGCACAGAATCACAACAAAGATAATCAAACAAGGAATCTGCAAAAGTCTAGAAACAAAGCTATTACTAGAAGCCAACATGGGTTTGTCAAAAGCAGATCACGCTACTAGACAAACCTTATTGTATTCTTTGAAAAAGTTACTAAAATAGTGGAACAGTTAAATTCCATCGACATAATATCCTTGGATTTCAGTAAGGCAAGTGACAAAGCAGACCACAACAGCACATTTCTTGATAAGATAGAAAAATGTGGTATATACAGCATCACCACCCAATGGATTCATAACTGGCTGACCAACCACAGTGAACACGTAGTCCTGAATGGAACTACATTAAGCCTTCATCCAGCAACTTGGGAGTGAAACACAATTTCTCTGCATTGCTGTTTTGTCAAATAAAGATTTAAAAAATATAATGTTTATTCTCCAAACCAAGATTTAACCAAGATTTGTTTACTCACCTTGAAAGTTATAGCTAAGAGGTTTCTGCTACACTTGTTACCCCTCTGACTCAAGGCTAGGAACGACCCTCATTGCTGACTGGTTTGGTTTTTCCTTAATCCATTCGTCCTTTGTGCAGGAAGCTGCTTCTCCAACTGGGCCACCATTTCCAAATTCTCTAGAATGGAGTCCTGGCCAAAAGTTGGTGGGTCCCGATCCAAGAACGCCTCTTCTCCTCTGTGGAGCTCATGACCATATCCTCATTGGTCTCCTGTAAAGAGAAATGAGAAAGGCTCAGATGCTGACAGTAATCTGAATATAATCTGCAAATGACTTGGAAAAGGGAGGAGAATATGGAATTATTTGTTGAAGATATAAAATGGAGACAGAATCGTGATTCAAGAAGATCTTGATGAGCCAAAATGGAAGAAACCAGCAAGATGAAGTCAAACAGGGACCAATGCAGAGTTTTGAGTAGGAAAACTTAATGTAATATGAGAGAGATCAGATGGGGCAGAGCATGTGTGGAAAGGTCTGTTCTTTCCTGCTCTTTATGGAGGCTGCAAGAGCCACAAAAATTCCAGGTAGGCATTTCGAAAATATTTACAATTAGGAAAAGCAGACTTTTGGCCATCGGCTTGTTTTATTACCTGCTCACAAGGCCAGCCTCAAAACTTCCTTGGTGCTCTGAAAAATATCCACCAAGAAGGGGCTGCCACATCACCGCCTCTTCTAGGCAAAGCAAGGAAAATATAAAGTTTAGAAATTCTGCCTAGCTTTTTAAAGTGGAAGCAAAGTAAACATTACCATCAAAATAAAGGACTTTATTTTTAGCTTTTTACATTGAGCTCAAAGAAAGAGGAACTGTTGGGGGTTAAGAAAACATGAACTGCATTCAGTTAATTTCAACGTTTTCTTTTCCCTAAAGCCTCCCCTCCCCATCGCAATGAGGTCAGTCTGTGTTAATACTGTGGGAAGAATCCAGAGAAAGAAAGATTTTGGGAATATTAAAAAGGGAATTTTTTTTAATATTTCCCCAAAGCAGTGGTTCTCAACCTGTGGGTCGGGACGCCATTTGGGGTCGAACGACCATTTCACGGGGTTGCCAAACAATGCAGTCCGCCATTTTTTCCCCCCTTTTCCTTAGCTGTGCTACTCCCTTTTATTCTATTGGCTTTTGAAAGCCAATAGAATAGACTCTCTTGAATAGAGTCTAATCCTATTGGCTTTCAAAAGCCAGTAGGAATTGTCCAGGCTGTCTCTGCCCTGCTGAGCCCGCCAAAAGTCCCATTCTGCAAATGGTGCTGCACCAGTTGAGTAGTTCTCGACTTACGACCGGTTGAGTAGTCCTCGACTTACGACCGGTTGGGGGGTCACAGCATTAAAAAGGTTGAGAACCACTGCCCCAAAGGATGTTAAAGGCAGAAACCACCACCCACCCCACCCAGTCTCTCTGCCCCAAACAGAAACCAGGTCTGGGATTAGAAAGACAGATCCCTAAAATCAAGAATCCCTCACACCAAAAAATCCAACAGTCATCAGCCATAGGGAAGCAGGATATGACCTTTGGGACATAATAGGATTAACCCACCACCATCAGAATACCGGAAAGGCAAACTCAGACTCAGTTCAAAGTTCATACCACAGGAACAACTCCAAACAAAAGCTCGAGAAGGTATAAAAACCCACCACTCCTTACTACATGAAGTCAGTTTTTCCTAGAGCCAGCTTTCTGTCTGGCTCTCCTCTTCAATAAACTACAACCTTCTTTCTACAGCAGTCTCCATGTTTATTTATTCCTAGCTTGGACTGCACCCTGATGGAGATTTTTCTTTCAATAATACCTCATCACAAACTCCATTTTCTGCAACTGCACGTGCGGGATATGCATGTTCGGAGATCTCGTCCTCTGACCGACCACAGAGAGACCTTCTGGAGTAACTTCTCCAAAACCTTTTTCCCCGGATCCACCCAGAGCCCCGCGGGGAACCCTGGCCGGGCGAGGAGGGGGCAGATCCAGCCCGGGGAGGGATCCCCCTTTGGCCCCCTGGAGGGAAGGGAGGGATCCGCTCCCTGCAGGCGACGCCAGAGCCGAATCTCCCCAAGGAAAACCCGGCAAGCCGAAGAGGCGGATCCGCAGCTACCTTTCTCCTGGCGGGGGGGGGGAGAAGCTCTCCTGGCGGGAGGGGCGCCCCAAAGGCCGGAGGGGGAGCAGCCAGACCTCCCCGAAGTAAGACCCAGAAGCCTCTCCCGAGGGATCCGGCGCCGATCCTCCCAGGGCGAAGCGGAACAAGCAGAGTGAAGCGGGGGTCCAGCAAGTGGGAAGGTAGAGAGGGGGCGCGGCTTCTGCTTTCCTCCTGGGCTCCGCCTCCGCTTTGCAGCCCCGCCCCTTAGCGGCCTCAGCTCCTCCTTCCCTCCCTTCCCCTCTCCGCCTTCCCAGCCGGGTCTCCCTGTTTCTCCGCTGGGCATCAGCCTCCGGAGTTCCTCTGCCCATGCGAAGAGTGCCCTGCTGTGCCCAGGCGGGGCTGCCTCCTGCTCCAACATCTGGGTGGAAACTGAAGCTCCGCGATGGCTTTTGGGGGGGGGGGGAGGCAGGAGGGACAGGAACCCCCCCCCGTCCCTTCGAGGAGGGCTCCTCTCCGGCTGGGTCTTTGCGGAGCCCGACAGAGGACGGAAAGGGAGGGACCGATCTCTTCCCCGGGGGAGGCTCCGTGGCCGTGTGTGTGTGTGTGTGTGTGTGTGTGATGCAAAAGCCGAGTTCCAAAATGCCTTTACCCGCCCCCCTCCATCCCCCCTCTATTTTTCCCAGCCTATGGATCCCCTCAATATTGCTTTCCGGTCTTCTCATAACTCAGCCAGAATTTCACATTCCTTCTGGAATTCCTTCCCGTTCCAGTCTCACGAAAGCATTTCATGCGGCGAGGGCGGGGCTTCTGCTCTCCTGTTCGGCTCCGCCTCCGCTTTGCAGCCCCGCCCATCGGCCTCCTCTTCTCCTCCCCCTTCCCTGCTTCCCAGCCGGGGCTTCAATTCCTCTGCCCATGCGAAGAGTGCCCTGCTGTGCCCGGGACTGAGCTGCTTCCTAATGCAGCATCTGGGCGGAAACTGAAGCGCCGCGATGGCCGCCAAGGAGTCGCGGAGGGAATGGCGAGGATCGCGGCGTTCCCTACAGGCTGGGAAAGAGGGTGGGGAGGGGATGTGGATCCCGAGGAAGGGCAGGCGTCCGGGATCCCTTCCGCGGCTGAAACGGGGCGGAAACAGAAGCGGGACAATGTCTTCCGTGCAGCCGGGGTTGGGGGGGGGAGCGCAAGGGGGAGGGCCGGGAAGGAGTCCCGAGCGGATCCCTTCTGGATCCCGAGGATCCTGGAAGTACAGCTGCGCAGGGGCCGAGGTGGGAACAGACGGGGGGGGGGCGCCCCAGTGAATCCCTGGAGGGAGGAAGTGGGAAAGAGCCGGGGGCAACAGGAACCAATGCCCTTGGGGGAAGGGGTCTCCTTCAGTTGGCCCAGAGTCCCCCAGAGGACCCGTGGACGGGGGGGGGGGGAGCAGATTCCCCCAGGACCCCCCCCCGGCCCCATTTGCCTTTTGCCTCCCTTCTGCCCAGAACTAGAGAGAGGCTCCTGCTTGCCTCCCTCACTTCCTCTAATTTGGGGGCACCCAGTTTTTACACAGAGGCGTAGAAACGGTTTGTAGGGCCCTGAGGAGACCCCTTCTTCTTCCCTAGTCCCCCCATGACACTTAATTTGGATTTTGGCCCCTGAAGTACAATTGAACTTTTAAATATATATATATTAAGCATATAATTCACAAGCCCCACCCATTATCAAATGTAACCTTTAGATGCCTTCAGAGCAGCTCACCTGTCTGGGGGCTGCAGAGCTGCTGGATCACAACCCCCATCAAGTCCAGCCGGCAAGACGTTATGGGAGTAGAAACCCAGCCTAACTCACGTCTGGAGGATTCCATTGAGTGAATGCTAGCAAGCCTCCTTGTGGCAAGACAATCCCTGGACCCACAACCCAAGAATCACAACGCTAAGCTGCTGTGTGTAGAATGTAATTGTATTTACTCTGCAGTCCGAAATATTTCTCTTTCTGAGATACAAAAACAATTAGCAGCATTTAGAGCAGCACCCGGGTTTAAAGAAGAACCAGAAGGCAAAGCAGGAGAAGCAGCTCAGTCCCCTCTGGCCACCTTGCCCCAGCTGCTGTCCTCCAGATGTTTGGGCCTTCGACTCCCTCAACATCTGCAGAACACCAGATTGGGAAAGGCCCTTCTGGGATATAACTGGCCACATTCAGTTGAAAAGAATTGGGTGGGGGAGGTGGGGCAAGGGGGGGTCTCTTCATAGAAACCAGTGTTTGTTTTTTTTAATCCTGGTAACTTTTAAGATGTGTGGACTAAAATCCCCAGAATTCCCCAGGGAGCATGCTGGGAATTGAAGTCCACTCATCGGAAAGTTGCCAAAGTTGAAAACCTGTGACAAAAACAGATGAGTTGGCTTTCTGATGAATTGTTTGGGAACTGCTGCTTAAGGTGGAAATCAGCTCCTTTTTTCATGGTATGGGGTCTCCTGCTTGAGGAAGGGGTTGGACTACAAGACCTCCAAGGTGCCTCCCGCTCTATTCTGATTGATAAAACCCACCAAGGGGCTACCACATTCTTTGACAAGTAGGCCAGCAAAATGCTGTAGGCATAGTATACTTAGATTTCAGCAACACATTCAACAATCCATGTCAGGGGGTGACATTATAACAGTATTCCAATATTGGGGGGCTGCCACAAAGAAGAGGGCATCCACCAGTTTTTCAAAGCACTTGAAGGCAGGAAAAGAAACAATGGATGGAAATTAACAGCCACCTGTCTGGAATGGTATAGGGTCTCCTGCTTGAGGAAGGGGTTGGACTAGAAGACCTCCAAGGTCCCTTCCAGCTCTATTCAGATTGATAAAACCCACCAAGGGGCTGCCACCTCACAGCCTCTTCAGGGCAAAAGAAGGAAAATAATGATTTTTTTCAGATTCTGCCCAGCTTTGTAGAAACAAAAGAAAAACAAAGAATCAGAATAAAAGCAAAGAATATTCATTCCTCTCTATTTAGATTAAGCAGAAAAAAAGTGGATCTTTTCTGGGTTGGGAGAACATGAGCCCAATTCAAGCAATTTAAACTCCCCCCCTTAAACCAAACTCCCCCCAACTGAAGGGAGAAGGCGGGTCTTTCTTTCCATTGCCCCATATTTCCCCCCCAAAAAAAACCTTAAAAAGAAAAGCCCCCCTTTCCCTCCGTGGGGCGAGCCCCCCCTTTCCCCGTCCAGCCCTGCATCCACCCGGGATCCTGGCAGGCTCAGCCACCCTCCGGGGACCCGGGGGGGACCCGGGGCTACCTTCCTCCTGGCCGGCCGAGGGAGAGCAGGACCAGCCCCACCTGCCCGGAGCGGGGCCGAGGAGCAGCCTTGCCGGACGCCCAGAAGTTGCACCGCCGCCCAAAATGCCCCCAGGGGGAAAAGGCGGAGAAGGAAAATCCTCCGCAACGGAGCTCTGGAACCTCAGATGCTGGGGGGGGGGGGGGGGAAGAGTAAGGAGAACGAGAGGAACGTCCTAGAGAGGCACCTCGGAGGGCGCCGGGCGAGCCGCCTCTTTGACAGCCGGGCGGAGTCTTCAGAGATTGGGAGCCTTTCCCTCCCTCCCTCCCTCCCTCCCTTGATTGGGGAGAGGCGGCCGGGGATCCTCGCTCCCTGCTTCCCCCCGAGGTTTGGGGGGGACTCGGACGAGGGATTCCCCTTCCGGCACCTGGCAAGGCTGAGATGGCTGTGAAGGATGGGCTGCGTAGTAGGGAGGTGGGCGAGGCGGAGGTTCTGCGGTTCCAATGATGGATCCGGGCTTGGTTCCTCCAGGGAGAGAGACCGGCCTTAATCATGGCTTAATCATAGTTTACTCCCAGCCCTGCTTTGCTTTGATCATTGCTCACCGTGGGGTAACTGGTGGGTTTCTATAATTTTCCAAGCTTTATAGAATAACAGAATAACAGTTGAGCTTGGAGATCTTCTACTCTATCTCAACCCCCCCCCTGACCAGGCAAGAGATCCTATACCATTCTAGACAAGTGAGTGTCTAATCTCTTCTTAAAAGTCTCCAGAATGGAGTACTTGCAACTTTTGGAGGCCAGCCATTGCACTGATTAATTGTTCTAAATGTGAGGAAATTCTCCTTAGTTCTAAGCTGCATCTCTCTTTGATTAGCTTTCAGCCATTACTTGTTGTTCAGCCTTCAGGTGCTTTGTAAAATAGGTTGTCCCCCTCTACATACTGACAGCTTCTCAACTATTGGAAGATTGCCATCCTGTCACTCCTAGTCCTTCTCTTCCTTTGACTAGACATGACAATTTCTGCAACATTCCTCTTATGTTTTAGCTTCCGTTCCCCTAATCATTTTTGTTGCTCTTCTCTGCAGCTTACTAGTCTTAACATTTTCAAAAATGTTCAAAACCCCATAGATGGAGTTTGACCCAATTTGGAATTTTTAAACAAGTTCATGAATAGATTGTTTGAAAATGCATTTCAAAAAAATTATAAATTGATTTGCATTTTAATGAGTGAAATAAGTATTTGACCCCTTCGCGAAATATGACTTAGTCCTTGGTGGCAAAACCTTCCTTGGCAATCACAGAGGTCAGACGTGTCTTGTAGTTGGCCACCAGGTTTGCACACATTTCAGGAGGGATTTTTGTCCCAGCTCCCTCCACAGATTTTCCATGGGATTAAGGTCTGGAGACTGGCTAGGACACTCCAGGATATTAATGTGCTTCTCCTTGATCAATTGACTTCCCCTTTACTCTCCTCTAATCTGATTCTTCTGATGTCTCCCTTTTGAGCAAAACATTTCTACACTCTGTGAGTCTTCGTGGCTTCACTCCTTTATGGACCTTTCGATTCTTTCCGAGGTGGTCTTTTCGGGAAAAGCATTTCCTATACTCCCCGCATTTGTACGGCTTCTCCACCGTGTGGATCCTCTAATGAACCCAAAGCAGTGTTGCTGTGAGAAAACATTTTGCACGCTCCCACATTTATAAGACTTCTCCTGTGTGCCTTGTCTGGTGTCTCCGAAGTTCAGCAGATTCCACAAATCGTTTCTCGCATTCTGGGCATTGAAGTCTCTGATGTCAAATTAGTGTGAAGTCTCTGATGTCAAATTAGGTGTGACTTTTTGGAAAAGCATCTCCCACATTCTGGATGCTTTTTCTGCCCTCCATTTTTCATTCCTGCGTGGAGCTTCCCGTGGAACGAAAGCTGTGACTTTTGAGTAAAGCCTATCCTATACTGCAGACACCTGTAAGGCTTCTCTCCGACAGGAAGTCTCTCGTGATTTCCTGCCCAGGCGATGCCTGCGGGAGCGTGGGGGGAGACTCTTTGGGTTCCCACGGCCTTTCCCCTCCCTCCAGGCTGGAGTTGGTCAGATTTCCCCCATGGGCAG